GAACTGCAAGATATAATAGCTCAGGCTATTCGTATGGCTGGTAATGCATCTCTTTCCACTGCTCTCTCAGTCCTGCCTGGTAAGTCTCAAACTTGGCTTTTCGATTCTGCACAGTTTGGAAGTTTTAATTGCAGAAGGAAGCTCTTTCCTTTTCATCAAGTCTTAACCACTATATAAACACAATTCAATGGGATCCATGCACGGAAATTTTATACCACAAAAAGCAAAGAACGGAGATCTGAGACTCAAGCATAGTTTTTCTTATTTCTTTTATTAATTATATTTTGTTTACCATAAGAATTACGAATAGCTAAACTCTTTATTTCTAGGATTGAATTCATACTCTATGTGGCACTTAGTCCATTATATTACTTGTACGACACGTGCATTGCGTGTAGGTAAAATCACAAACAAGTTTTTGGCGCCTTTGCCGGGAAATATAATTAACGATCTATTTATTATGACTCTAGATTTGAACAATGCTCTCGATTCACACAAATTAATTTTTATTTATAAATTTTATGTTATTTAATTTTTTTTCCTTTGTTACATGGGAGGTTATAATTTTCGCGCACTTCAAACAGGATATGAAAGGCTTCCGTTTGCCGAATACCTCCAAAACACCTACTATGCCGCTATTATGTTCAAAATAACTCCAACATATTGATGGAAATCATTACACTAACCAATGTTGGGAAGCACCGAAAGCGAATAATTTCATCGATAATACTAACAGAGGTTATTGGAACACAATACACCAACACGTACAAGCAGCGCATTCCGAGTCAAGCATTCAATGGTTTTCAAAATAGAGAGCCGCAATTTGATGATTTTCAACCTTGTTATGCAATACCACGAGAACCCACTATTGTGGAGTGTTATTTAAAATGTATCCTTGAAGAGTTTTTTAAATCCACTCAAGCATCTTTCCGAAGAATGGAGATACAATGGGAGAGATCAAGTTCCAAAGGTCTCTTGAAAATATTTAAGACGACATCTAGAATGGTTGTAGCAAAGAGAATCCATGTGAAACTTGTAGTGAGAAAAATATTTTGGACCTAGAAAATTGTTAGAGTAGGTGACCAACAAGCTAACTTGTGGTTGTACTCTTTCATTTATTATTGTAATAAATAATCTTTTTTCGTACTAATGATAAAAACACCTTTTGCATTCTATATATTTGTCCCTTGCATAATCATAGATTTTGTCCTTGCAGTTATTATAATTACTTATATTTGATCTAGTAGGATCATGAAATATTTAGTTAAGTAATATGACTGTTAAACATGTTCCTAGTCAACGAGTTACACCACCAATGAGGATATTAGTCTTTCCCATTCGAAACTAGCACTTAGTGTATGTGTACTGCGTCTCATCAGTAATGAGTATTGTGATATCGGCATACATAAGTGGGTGCTCATAAGTTGATTAGTTTTCTGAACTCCCTCATCCTAGAAATCTCTAAGTGGTTCTCAGTAATCGAGTAGATATCTCAATGATATAGTTGTACATCATTAGTCCTTAAGACCCAGACATCACCGTGACTTCACTAAAAAACCAGCTGTATCGTAACCTGTCCTTGAGTTCCACCGAGGACCGCCCCAAGGGCCAGTATTCGTGCAGTCCGAAATCTAGTGGGATGTCTGTCATTGTAGTCGGGGATTCAATCGCTAGAATAGTCTTGGATGTCCTGTGTGTTCTCATGGTTTGTAATCTTTAAGTCTATGGCCAGAGCTGACTAAGTGATGATTAGAGAATGTGATTCTCTAAGTCATGCACGAACCGATTACAACACTTAGAACGATCGCACAATTATTGGACAATAAAGGAGGTCTCGATGAACCAATGCCTCTAGTTCAGTCGGGACATATGTATCGAAGGGATCGTACTGTACGTTAACTATATCACACGGTTCTTGCAGGCTCCTCATCTGTTTCTAGGGAATCATGATGCGTAGTTGCTAGACAGTAATCTTGATTCATTGGGGGATTAAGTTGAAACGATCTTCATCTTAATTATACCTATAGGGATGAGTTAAAACCACAAAGGGTTATGGGCCCACGGGTAGGTTACACCTGAACCATAGAGGGTCACACTGCTTGTGTACTTGAATTTATTGAATAAACGGTCAAAGATAAAAACGTGTAATCTTTGCATGATTGGAACCCAATAAGATTGAGTCCAATATTCATAATTGTGAATTATGAATGAGAATGGAAAAAGGAAAGAACTAGACGATGATCTTAGTGAACTTTCTATGAACCCTTGGCGAGATTTGAAGACGGTTGAAAAATAGGGCCCTTCTAAAATCTACATTAAAACTCATTTATTTTCAAAAAAAGATGATAAACTCTATGTTAACTCATTTTTTGTAAGGTGTATAGCCAGAGGCAAAGGCTATAAATTTGTGATATAGTCAAGCCATAGTTTCCGAGGTTTCAGGGGCAGTGCCCCCGAAGTTTTTAAGGATAAGTTTCATTAAGTAGCATTAAAGCAAGTGAATACATATAAAAATAAATAACTGATGCATTATAAATTTAGTAATTTGGGGCCCCATGATTAGAGGAATTATAGAACAGGTAAAATTCGTTGATTAGTATCTAGGGTTAAATACAGTTTACACCCCTAAAGTATACCATATGTAACACTTACGCCCTTAAAATATCATTTGTAACACTTTCCCCCCTCAATCACATTTTAATTTCAATATTAAGTTCTAATACCTTAAAAATATCTCTGTTATTGAAAGGAATAACTAAAATAATAATTAAATTATACAACCAAAAATATCTGTAAAAAAATGCAATATTTTAAAATTTGAAAATATTATCTTACGTTAGGTACATATTTAATAAATAACATCTAATTCTTGTTGGACCAATTAATCAAATATATTCATATCGATAAATTTTAATAAATCAATACATAACTAATATTAATCTTAAGTATTTAAATTTATTTAGTCCATTAATTTTTTAAAATATATTTTCATTCATTATTATACAATATATATTACTTTTTAATTATTTTACAATAATTTAATTTTAGTTACTTTTTTCAATTTTATATGAGCCAATAATTATTAGATTGTTATGTTTTAAATTTTAAAATATAAAATAATTGATGTTGAGGGGTAATTGTTACAAATAATACTTTAAGGGGGTAAGTATTACATAGGCTATACTTCAGAGGTGCAAAACGTATTTAACCCTAATAACTATTTATGATTGAGGTTCTCAATAATTATATATATATATATATATATATATATATATATATATATATATATATATATATATATATATATATATATATATATATATATATATATATATATATATATATATATATATATATATACGACAATATATGAAGGGTATAAAAAAAATTGGGAGCTGAAATAGGCCTTCTCCTCTCCAATTATGTTCGAAAAAAAAATGACCATTCACAAAACCACACTTTCATTAGTCGGTGCAAGAATTATCCTCCCCTTGACATACGCAGGAGTGAACAGGTTGCTCAACAAATCGGGATAAAAAAAACTTGATTAGATTCTAAAAGAGATCTGCAGAATCACGAATAACCATGTCATCGGGAATTTTAATTTCGATACTATTTTATTAGTATTAATCCTATTATAATTTTCATACTAATAGTACTAATGTTATTACTATTAGTAATAATAATACGCTAATGCTAATATTATATACTAATGTCATTATTAATATTAATACTAATATACCAATACCAATACCAATTTCAGTACAAATACCAATACAATATCGATACCAATACAAATAAATATCAATTCTACATCAAATCCAATACCCATACTGATTCAATATATCATGGGGGTTTGGGCCTAAAATAAGTTGGGCTTTTCTTTACTGGGCTTTATAGGGCGATTGCGCCCGGATTACATACCATTACAATTACCGACACCAATATTATTACCATTACTATTACTATTACCATTAGCACTACAATTATCATTGCAATTACCATTATAATTATCAGTACCAATAATTGTATTTTCAACTGACAGTAATTGTACAGTAGCCGACTGTAATTGTATTTTCAACTGAGAGTAATTGCATCGTTCGTCGGTATCGAAATCTTGCGAAACATTTCGGTACATAAAATTTAGAAAACATTTAGCACTAAAATTTTGTTATGTTTTCGGTACCGAAAATGTTAACATTTATATGGTTGTAAGTGCAGAAAATTACACATCGCGGAAACAATGGTGTAATTGCGAAACTCGAACTTCATACTCAAAAAGTCGAACATAAAACAACATTAACTCACAAAATACTGACCTCTTCCATTATCTTGATACGAATCTTCAAAATCATTTTTTCTTGATTCCATAATATTCTATTTGTAGGGTTTGTAGATGAGGAGAAGTGTTCAAGAAAGAAAAAAAAAAATTCCCCGTCAACAAACATTTGTAGTGTTGTGTGGTTGGTGTAGTGCGTTTAGGAATATTTGAAATGTGTTTGTTTTTGTTTTTTTTTTTTAACAAAATAGTAGTAAGAAAAATTTTGGTCTTTTAATTAAGGGTAATTTTGGTATTGCCATTTGGTGGAGTGAGATGAGCAAAATGGTAGGGCCTGTATAATTAGAAGACACGTTTAAATATACCGATATTGAAGTAAGCATGTTTCAATCATTGGACGATGACACACACGCGATGCGTGTTAAAAAAAATACTTCAATTTAAACGTGAATGATTTCATCAATAATAAATTGAAGTTAAAAATTATTTAGTGTTAAAATTCAACTTTATTTTTTTAATTTCTTTATTTATTTTTAATTTAAAGTTAAGTTTAAGTTTTTCAAGTTTTAATTTACCTTTTTTTTTTCTTTATTGTAATTTTTTAAAAAAAACATTGAAAAATCGATTTGGACCCCGACCCGGGTGGATCCTGATGGACCCGGCCCCGCGGCCATGTCTATATATAGCCACCCAAAAGGAAATACCCCAAATAACAAAGGTTGGTGCTCTCGTAGGCCTACAATTAGGTTTTGTCACTTTATTGTCCCAGCATTGGGTTAATAAAATCTCGATTTGCCGATTACATCATCGTCATCTCGATTCTTAATCAGGTATGTTTTTTTGGTTTTCCCCTTGTTTCTTTCGATCTTATTTCGGATATGTCATATGTACTTGTTCTGAATTATGATATGTCCTTACTGTGTTAATTTATCATGTCTTTTGTTCGTGTTTCTTCTGCATTGGGATATGTGATATTTATTTGTTCTGATTTATGATGTTTTTGTTCGTACGTTCGGACAAGTGGCTTACGTTTTCACCAAAGGACAGACTAGCTTGCGTTTTAATTATTTGCGTTCCAAATTGCCGGTCAACTGTCTTTAGGAGTTTAGCTTATTCAGTTATAACTTTCCTCCTATTTCTCTATGTGTACATGTGACAGTTTCACGTCTGTCAAACTCTATTCAAATTGTAACTCTCGGTAACTCTCCTGTATAAAACCACATGAATGAAATACAACTCGGTGAGCCGAATACTCTAATCTTTCTCTTGTCTTACATTAGGTACATAATCTGATGGCTGACTCTACTGGTAGAGTGGGAATGGAATATAATTATCAGTTCTGGTTGGACTATGGGTTGATTTCAGAGGAGCACGGATACAAATTGACTCTGGGAGTTAAAAACGTCATCTTTGAAATCAGAACGAATTTCATCCTAAGGAAGAAGAAGATTAGACATGATTGTGAAGATGAAGACGAAGATGAAGATGAAGACGAGATTCTCGACTCGGAGACATTGAGTTTTTGCTTTCCATATAACACCAACGACCATACACCACCTCTCCTATTTTTTGTTTGTTTCAGGCTAGCCGACTACTGGATGACTAGGGATGAAATGGATGCTCTTGTAAACAATGCCATTGATTTCGCAAGAAGACAAATGGAGGCAGCTCATCCTCAACTCACCAATCTTGTGGTCCCCGTAGTAGTTGGGGTCAATGTTTGCACCGTTCAGCAAGAGGGCGAGACTGTTGTCGAAGCAAGGAATAGGTCAATTAGGGCAAAACATCTGGTCCCAGCATATCTCTGGCAACATCCGTATTTTAAAATGGATGAGCATACTACAAGACCAAAACCTCCAAGGCTTATGAGTTTTCTTAGGCTACTACCCAGAATCAGAAACGTTGTTGTTGATGACGATGATGATGGCGACAATGATAATTTTGTGTGCTCAATCTGTTCGAAGAATCCATGGTTTGGAGTTCAAAAAACAAGCCTCCCTTGCTGCGGACACACTTTCCATTCTCACTGTGTTGTTCCATGGCTCGAACACAACCACCTTTGCCCCTCCTGCCATTCTCCAGCCTATGACCCTCATTACATGAACTTGTTTTAATTTTTATTTACAATTATGTATCCATAGTTTTTATTTAACTCACTTCTTTCAAATAACTGCAGCAATTTTGTTTCTTCTCTTGAAAATATAATTTCATCAATTCGCTTAAAGTTGAGGCCACCAATGCAAAAGATCAATTTTTTTCACAACCCCTCATATAAGAAGTATCAGCCACTAAGATAAAGTCTTTGGTCCATATATGATCTGTGAAAAACTCGAACTTGAAGTGCAAAAATGAGATACAACATCCTCAAGAACTAATGACTTTCTAAGTGAAATTGTTTTTGGTGTTATTCTGCAGCTTTTCTTGTGGGATATGAATTTCATGTTTGTTTAAGGTAAAAACATGATTAGAAGAATCTGAATTTTTGTACAATTTGAATTCCACTTTTTGATGATATTAGACTACTTTAAAATATATCAGAAGTTTACTGCTTTTTCCAGTAGGCATATGTATTTGGTGCTTTTCTGTTGTGTATCTGATTTCATCTAAGTTGACCTGTGTTTTTCCTCTTTTTTAATTTCGTTTCCTGTTTTGTGAATATCCTCGTTTTTGTTTCTTTGTTGTAGAAACTTTGTGTTGCGGTTAAGAGTCTTTGAGAGTTGGTTTACTTAGAGCTGTTAAAAATTAGAGCACTGTGTTCTTTTCCTTGCTAGGTTGTATCTTATGACAACCTGCGTGTAGTGCAACTTCTAATATTAGGCATGCAAACTTGTAAACTTAATGATATAAATCATTACACAGATTGAAAATTGCCAAATTGCTAATGTCTGTTGAAGTTTGCTTTAATTATTTGCCTTACAGAAGCCAGTATTATTTATCTTAAATTAAAAAACAGAAGGTCAGTATGCATAATATTATTTATCTTAAATTAAAATATAAAAGGTGCCAATTTTCGTTGTATGTTACTGTGATGATATGTTCTTCAGATGCATAATCTTTTTTCTTCTTTTTTATATTTTTTACTGAATTATTTGCATTTGATTTTTTGCAGAGGTCCCATTTTAAGAGGCTTGGCTCGATTCGACTTTGATTTCAATAGTGACTATGTGTAAGACCATAAGATTTTCTCCAAATAGGTTGCACTTATTTCTATCTTCACTTAAATTTGATTTGCTTGCATATTTTGTTTGTCTATATAGTAGTTGGGAAATGTTTTTACTGTTGATGTTTGAAACATCAATTTTCTTTGCTATGTGATGTTTCACTTTTTTCTTTGTTTCTTGTAATATGTAGATGTCGTGGATTGATTTTCAGACATTATTGCTTACATGCCAAACGTAGTATTAATGGACATTATTGATTTTCCAATGATTTTTACTCATAACCTGATACTTTTTCATCCCACTGCTGTATATGCTGATGTTAGTATATAGCAGTGTTCTAAATATCGGTTGTGGCGACCGATATATCGGCCGCCATATCGGGTGGCGGGCATAAACCTTCACGATATTTGTGTGGCGGTTCTAAAAATCGGTTTTTTGACGGTGAGGCAGTCCGAGGCGGTCTGTGGCGGGTCAAACTTCGAGCGATATATCGGAAAAATACTTTTTTCTAATTTTTTTTTGTTTTTGTTACAAGAAAAATGGGTTGTTTATCTTTATTTTTATTTTTATTTTTATTTTTCAATTCCAACCCATTATCTCTTTCAATCAAACCCAAACTCACCGACCTCGTAAGAAGAACCTGGTCTAAAAATAAAAACATTTAGAACGATGAGGAGATAATCAAGGTTCTAAATGTTAAACTTTTGTTATGTGGTTAGATTATATAAACGATGAGGAGAAAATCAAGTTCAATTTTTTTTATTTGTTTTAAGTATTAACAAATAATATTTAGAAATATATTACACTAAATCTAAAAATCGATTTATTTCCGATATATCTCCGATTAATCACCGCCGCATCGCATAATCAGCCATCGCATTTTGACGTTTTATATTGATGTTTATTTTACTTGGGCCGCCCTTCATGCTCACTGTAATCTTGTGTTTATACTAGTACAAATTGCAAAAGTCCAAACATTACTTGATCTCTAAACATGTGCACACCAACTTTGTGCTTCTTCACGGATTAAGCATTTAAATATGCATACTGATGATAAGATAAGCTCGTGTGTGAACTTTCATTCGAGGAAAAAAATAATATTGCTCCATTTTCACCTTGACCAAAAGCTGAAGCACTTACGAAAACCCCTAACCTATCATTAGCGGCCATATATATTGTTTGTAGCCAATTGGTATCTAAAGTTTGACTATGAAATGGAAATTAATATGTGCAGCTGTTGATGTTTCTTTTCTCATATGTTGTCCTTATTTGCGAAAATGAGATGCTGGTTTGTTTGAAGATTTTCAAACATATGACAAAATAATACTTCCTAGTTCCTACTGATGGCTTATGTCTGTAATGGAAAATTTTATGTTTTCTGTTTCTCAAGTACTGTCTTATTGCATCATATGTCTTTTGGGCCGCCGCAACTCAAATCAGTGGATTTCAAGTACCCCTAAAAATCGATGGATTTCAGCCCATTTTCAATGGATTTAAAATCCTTCCACAAACCTAGTCATTTGAAATCCACCGCGTCGAGTTATTGGGACTTCTTTCTGCATCCTTCAAAAATTAGGGATTTTTTCAATCATCGATCTTCTAGCTAAGGAATATTTCTCTTCAACGACGGAGCTCGACGGCACTGTTCGACGGCAGTGCTCGACAGCGGCCTTCAACTTCGGCACAACTGTCTTTGAAGCCTAATATCAACTATATCCCCTGCCCTATTTCTCAATTTTCTATGGTAAAGGTCCCATTCATTTTTCTTTTATATTTCTTGGTTGTTAGGAGGAATTCTGTAATTCTTGAAAAAAAAATTTGTTTGATAGTAAATTTCATTATATGTGTAAGAAGGTCGTAGTTTAAATTACTTGTATGTTCTATTGTAACTAAATAATTACAGCAAATTTGGATGTAGATTAAATGGATATTGTTCATAGGGGAGAAATAGACAAAGATGTAGAAGAGATGGAAATTATTAAGTCTTTGTTCAGCTCTTTGTTCACTACTTATCGAAAGATATATTATTGAGAGAAAATGACAATAGAGTTTATAAAAGAAAACTTTGTATGAGATATTTATGTCATGATCCAACATGCTTGAAGCAATTACGGGTAAATAATAGATTGCTTAATGGATTGTGTGATGTGTTGCAAAAGGATGGTGGATTGGTAGCAATAAAGAATGTGACGATAAAAGATATTGTGGCACTTTTCATGCATATTCTTGGTCATGATAAAAAAGTAGTACTATTGCAACCACATTTGTACGCTCGGGTGAAACTGTAAGTAGATAATTTCATATCGTGTTGCGAGCCGTGTTATGTATAGAATGCACTGGGAGCCTTAGATGGTACATTTGTTGGGCTCACAGTTTCAGTTGTAGAACAAAGTAGATACAGAAACAGAAAAGGCATGATAGGTACAAATATTTTAGGAGTTTGTGATGCTAACTTGAAAATCCTTTATGTTCGACCTGGATGGGAGGGGTCTACTTCAGATGCACGAGTTTTGCGTGATGCTTTACAAAGAACTAATGGCTTAAAAGTTTACAAGAGTAGGTCTAATTTATTTGGTAATTAAAATTTCATTTTTTTTAGTATCTAAATCATGTAATTTCATAAACTGTAAGACAAGTATTATCTTGTGGATGCGGGTAAAACAAATGATCCGGATTTTCTTGCACCATACAAAAAAACTCATTACCATCTTAATTTGTGGAGACGAAATACTTCAACAAATTATAAAGAGTTGTACAATTTTGGACACTCTTCTGCAAGAAATGTATTTGAAAGAACTTTCGGCTTGTTAAGGAAAAGATGGGCGATTTTTGCGTACTGCAAGCTTTTATAGCGTAAAGACACATATTAGAATCATCAATGCTTGTTGTATTTTACACAACTTTGTGCGCCGTGAGATGCCCATAGACCCTTTCTTGGATGAATTTGATCGAGAATTAGAGAACACTAGACCAAATGATGATGATTTGGACATAGAAGAAGAAGAAGAACAAATAAGAAATGTCAAGACTACAAATGAATGGACAATGTTTCATGATAATTTGGCACAACAAAAATTTCAACGCCAGAGACCGGCGACGACAGGCAAAATTATACTCAAAATTGAGCTTTTGGTCAAAATTGAATAATTTGTGAAATTTGGGGTCAAATTAAGGTTAAATTAAATTAAAGGATGACATTGGAGCATATTAAAATGTGAGGGGTTATTTTAGTCTTTTACACACCTCTGGACAATGTATGATTTTTTTTAAAATATTTTTTTGTCTTGTTCTCTTTATGAATAAGTATCAATTGATGGACTTATTTGTAATGCATCCGTGGTTGCCTGCAATCATCACCCCAATCATAAATGGCTAAAGACACTCTTGTGTATTTTTCCCATTCATAAATTTAGTGTAAATAGCAAATAGGACCATGACAAGGGAATTAATATAAAGTGACATCCACCTTATTTGTCTTTCAAATAAATCCTTCTCATTCAAACTTATTTGCAAATAAGTTTTATATGTAACAAAATTACCCCAAATTCATTGAAACCCTAATTCAACTCCAATTTCATGATTTACACCCCAATTTCACCGATCAACCAATTTTGACCATTATTCCAATTTTGACCCCAAATTCGACCAGCCACCGCCGGTTAGCCGTCGGTCTCGGTCTTCGGCGTTGATTTTTTTTTTTTATTTCAATTTTTTTTTTAAATTTTTTTTTCTGGCAGGTCAACCACCGGTCTCTGGCATTAACATTTTTTAAAAAAAACTCTTTTATTTTATTTTATTTTTCCGACAGGTCAACCGCCGGTCTCCGGTCGTTGACTTTTTTTCGAAAACTTATTTTTCCTTAAAAAAATTATTTTAATTAATATTACTGTCTTGGCTGCTAAATTACTGTCTCCAACAGTAATGTAACTATCGGAGACAATAATTTTACTGTATTAATTAATTTTATCGTCTTGGCCAGCAATTTTGTTGTCTTCGACCGTAATATTACTGTCTCATGCAATAATATTACTGTTTAATATTCGTAATATTCCTGTTCGGGACAATAATATTACTGTTTTGGAATTCAATATTACTATTTCAGATAATAATTTTGTTGTTAACACATTAATTTAGAGAGAGAAAAAACAAGTCAACGCCAGAGAACTGCCCGGTCAACGTCGGAATCTAACCGGAAGAAAAAAAATCAGAAAAAAAGTTATTTTTTTCAAAAAATTATTTTTTTCAAAAAATTATAAAAATGGGGGTTAATGGGCTTGTTCAAATCCGAGGTTAATGTGTAATATTGATAAAGTTAGGCATAATGGATAAAATTGATAAAAATTATAATATGGAGGGTATTTTAGACAAAAAGACATGGGTATAGATTTATTCGCTGCATTTATGTGCATTTAAGTCCCTTGTCAAGGACCTATTTGCCATCCGCCCTAAATTTAATCTAGGGTTAAATACAAAAACACCCATGCACTATGAACTTTGTATCATATCTTGTACTGCACATAAATACAAAAACCCCCCATACTGTTATATGTTTTCCAAAATATGATGAAAATACCCCTGCTAATAGACACGGCCACGGCCCGGTTCGGGCCGGTTCTGGGCCGGTTCATACCGGTTCACGGTTCAATTTTTCCGGAACCGGAACCGGCCCGTAATATGCACGGTTCGGCGGGCCGGGTCGGCCCGTCGGTTCAATCCGGTTCCATATGAAAAATAAATAAAATGACTTTAACTTAATTTTATAGGAAAAAAATGAGGTGTAAGCAATGTTTTCAAAACCGGACCGGACCGGCCGGTCCGACCGGTTTAACCGCGAACCGGACACCACACCGGTCTGGTCCTATACATAAACCCGGAAAGGCCAAAAACCCGGGTCGGTTATTGGGAACCGGACAAATTCCGGTTGAACCGCCGAAAAACCGGCAAAAAAACCGGTTCCATATGAAAAATAAAATGAGAGAGAGGTGGAGACAGAAAACTTCACCTTTTCGTCTAGTTTGCTGAAAGATCGGCAATGGCAGTGGTTGAGAAAGAGAGTTGAAGAAGAAAAAAAAAAAAAAAAACAAGAGGAAAGCAAAACAGCGGGGGAGAAAGAGTGGAGGCGCAAGGCTAAGAAGACTACGAAAATTAGAGTTTAGGTTTTGGCTAAATGGGCTTTAATAAATAATTGTATTGAAATTTTAGTATAAATTATTTTAAAATTACAAATTTACAGTGACTTTTCAAACTTAAAAGATATGCAAGTATTATATAAAATTCAATTATGTAATTTTTGGTGTACACTTTTATGCGTACGTTCTATTTTATATTTGATACATTATTTTAATATTTATATTTATGTAAATTATATTTTTCTTGTTGTAAATGCTAACTTTATTTCCTTTATATTTTATATTTTATTTTGAATTTTAAATTGTAAATCAGTAAATGCTTAAAAATGATATTTTATGAGGAATATATATTATTTGAGTGCATATATTCATATAATTTACCACTTTAAAATCATATAAATAAATTAAAAATATTGAAAAATGCAAAAACCTCGGTTGAACTTGGGTTGAACCGGTCCAACCGTGACCCAGTTGCTGGCCCGGTTCGATGGCCGGTCCGGTTTTCAAAACATTGGGTGTAAGGGTATTTATAAGAAAAATGGGGGGGGGGGGGGGGAATTCAAAAAATAGCAAATAACGGCCGGTTCACCGGCCGTTTTTTGTTTTTTTTTTGAATTTTTTTGATTTTTTTGATTTTTTTTTTTTAAATTTGGGTGAACCGCCGGGCCGGCCCGGCGGTTCACGGTTCACCAATTCATAGAACCGGGCCCGTCCTGGGATGACGGGCCGGTTCACCGGTCAACGGGCCGGTTCCGGGCCCAAAACCGGCCCGTGGCCGTGCCTACCTGCTAAGCCTATAAATATAAGGGTTTGTTTGAGCCATTTTCCAGTATATTTTTTAACATTTTTGGTCAATTTTACTTGGAAAATTTTGACATTTTTATTTAGATTTATTTATTTATTTTCTGAATAAAACCTTTTATTTTTGTCATTTTGAATTTATTCATTTTTTTTTATTAAATGTCCTCCGGTAGTTCAAAATCTCAACAATCATAGAATTGTAAAGATTTTTGTGATCTTAGGATGTTTGAACTACCGGAAGACATTTAAGAAGAAACAAAATTAAGAAACTCAAAATGATTAAAATAAAAGGTTTTATTCATAAAATAAAAAAAAAAAAAGAATCTAAGCAATTAAATATTTTGGAGAAAAAAATATAAATACCAAAATTTCCCACATAAAATTGACTGAAAATGGTAAAATATATAGTGGAAAATGACTTAAACTATATGCTTGAGTAGGGGTATTTTCTTCATATTTTAGAAAAAAAATATAATGTGATGGAGATTTTTGTATTTATGTATAGTACATGGGGTATATAATACAAAGTTCATAATACAATGGTGTTTTTGTATTTAAACCTTTAATCTATGAACAATTTCAAAAAAAAAATATGATTTTTGGTGGTATAAACTATAAAGTCAATAGCCTATTCAACACAACTAGCTACAATAATGGAACCAATTGACCAACAATAATTACAATGGGGCCAGCGTGCTTCCATGTTCTATAGCACCCCATGCAGGCTAATATTCAATGCTGCTGCTATATGTACCAAATCGACATACACACATTATACATACAAAACAATTATGACCCATAAATATCTTGCTCTAATTATCCAATTCTTTTATTTTTTATTATTTCATTTGAATATTGATGAAAATTCAAATGAAGAAATTGGCCTGATATTGAAATTGAAGGTGTGATTATTAACAAACTCAAAATTGAAATGAAGAAAATTAGGGAAGGGCGATCATTGGCTGAAACACCCACCTGGGCTGTTGCCACTGTTATAACCCTTTTGGTTACCATTGGGATCTTGATTCATGGCGGTTTGAAGAAATTTGGGAAGGTTAATTAATCTTCATCTTTTATTCACTTTTTTTTTTCCTTTTTTTTTTTTTTTTTTTTTTATTTACATATAAATGTTTGATAAACTCTTTTTCTATTTTTTTTCATCATTTTATTGTATGGTAGTGGTTGGATAGGACAAAAAGGAAGCATCTACTCGCTGCGCTGGATAAAATCAAGGAAGGTATGAAGAGGTGTGCTATGTTATTTTTTGGTATTTTTTCATGATGTTTTGGTTAAATTTGGATTATATTTTTTTTAATTTATTTTTTTGGGGGTATTTTTGTTTGGTTTAAATAAAATCAGAGCTAATGGTGTTTGGGCTTCTGTCGTTGTTGATGGGACATTGGATAGTATTTGTGGCGAAAATATGCGTGAAGTCGTCGTCAATGAGTAGCCGATTCTATCCGTGTAGACCTCCGATTGAGTATGTGAAACATCAATCTTTTGATGAACAAAGAGTTGTTTTAAGGTCTGAACATTTGAATTTCTCAACTGGACGAGTGTTGTTGGAAGACGATCATCATGATTATTGTCCTAAGGTATACTATTTATTGCAAGATTATATCCTGCTCTCGTGTTTCGGATGTGGATATATGATTAGAGCCTGCTCTCGTGTTTCGGATGTGGATATATATCTTCTTGTCTTTATGCCTTAAATTTCTGTTATATGTTATGCCCGACGGTAAACTACTAAACAAGATTAGAGCCATTGTGTGATTATGGTAACTTTAGGTTTGTTTAGTCTATTCTACGAGTAGATGTGCATATGCATTTGACTTCCCAAAACAAGTTTTGGTGAAGAATGAAAAATGAAATAAACACAAATACTGAACCATTTGATTTATTGTATAAATAATTGAATTGCAAGGTAGTTTGAAATCAAAATGCAGACGAAAAATTCAGACCACCTTATATCTATTAAAAATTGATACGATTGTGAGAAATGCTTGTGCGGGAGGAGTTCAAACATTTGTTGCTGTGTAATTTTTAGTTTTATAGTGCTACTAGTTCAAGAAATGATCTTTGTAGCATGGGCGACAAGCAATGTAGTCAAAATCGAGATCTAAACCGTAAAATCGTAAGATTTTAAGATTTTACACACTGGACAGGAGTAAGATTGTACTGAAATCGCAAGTGCCTTAAAATCGCGTAAAATACGTGTTGCTATTAATTCTACAATACGTGTAAAATCTTACGATTTTACGTTTCCGATTTTACTACTCCTCTCCGATTTCACTTAAAATCCCGATTTTGACTACCTTGGCGACAAGTGCCGAATAAACACTAGGGAGAGACAATTGTTTAGAGAAAAATAGTCCAATTATTTTGCCAACAAAAAAAATAATTCCTTAGTTCTGCCCTGTTTGAATCTTACCATGTAGCTGGAATTGTAGATAGTTGATATATTTATTCAAGAGATAGTCTCTCTACTCGGTGACTGTCAGCTAATTAAATGATTGAATCCATTGCATGAGAAAGAAGTTTAGATGGATAATCTCGTGCTTATGGTATTCACAAGTTCAACATTGGCTTCATACTCGAATGTTCGTCCAGTGTTCTGTAGATAAATTATAATAACAGCTAATTTGTTTATATATTACTTGTATTTTGCCACGAATATGGATGTGTAGGATTGCTAACAAAACCCAAATAATTTGTTCATTACTTGTAACTTTTTCGGTGAATATGGATGCGTAGAATTGCTAGCAGAAACCAACTTTCATAGCTAGCCGAGTAGCTTTGGTACAAATTGACTTAAGCAGAGAACAACCACTTAAGATATCAGTAAAAAAAAGTTAAGTATATTGCTATTTAGACTGTTCTAAAAATTCGAAAAAAAGATCAAGATTCGAATTCTAATTCCATGGTAGTATCGAATAGTGTCTAAACACTCCATAGGAAGTCGACTTTTCATCATTTTAGAAAGTTGCTCTTATTTGGACGAAGCCGAAATCCGAGTTTCATATGTTTGTGTTTTTGCTTCATTTTAGAAGAAAAAAAAATGTTGAAGATGCGTAGGGTATTTTTTGAGCAGGGTCATCAACCATTTGCTTCATACGAGAGCCTTGAACAACTACATCGGTTCTTGTTTGTCCTGGGAGTTACTCATGTCTCTTATAGTTTCTTAGCCATTGCACTTGCCATGATCAAGGTCAATATTTCTTCTTCGTCTTCTTCGTTTTTACCTCTTCTGTAAAACACAGTGACCGATGACTCAGCAAATATGCTCGTAACTCGGTGTCGTTAATAATTACAGATCTACAGCTGGAGGACATGGGAGAATCATGCCAAGACTATGGCCCTTCGTGGCTTGCTCACCGCAGATACTTGTGCTGGTCGTTTTTCTTTTTTTTTTTTAATGTTAAATCCTATTATTTCCGGCAATAAAACTGATTTAAACTGTTTTTTTTTTTTTCTTTTTGTTTTTTTTTGTTTTTTTACTTACAAATTATTTGATGCAATTAATTTCAGAAGATGCTGGATCGGATCATGCGCGTATGAGGCGCCTATCGAGTTTTGTAACTCATCACACCTCTCACCCGTGGAGTCAGCACAAACTTCTCGTTTGGCTGGTACATCACTGCTCGTTTAATATTTCCTCGATCATATGGTTTTCTTGATTATTCCAAATGCTATTTTATATAGCTACAAAATTGTTTTGTTGTCAGCTTTGTTTCAGCCGTCAATTCTGGAGCTCGATTAGCCAAGCCGACTACATGGCTCTGCGACTAGGCTTTATTACCGTATGTAGCTTTCTAAACTACTTACAATTGTTCAAGCAATTTTTATCACAAATTTGACTGTTATCGCTAAGGTGTTAGGTTCAACTACAGTTAAACTTCTATAAATTAATACAGTCGGGACCAGGGAAATTTTATTAATTTAGCGAAATTATTAAATTATCGAGTTAATAATTTAACACGTTTTCACTGAGTGGGAACCGAGATAAACTATTATTTAATCGAGGTTATTAATTTAACACGTTTTCACTGAGTGGGAACCGAGATAAACTATTATTTAATCGAGGTTATTAATTTATCGAGGTTCTACTGTAGTAATGTTGATTGCATAGCTCGAAAGCATGTACCAATTAGCCAGCATGACGCATATATATATATATATATATATATATATATATATATATATATATATATATATAAATTGAAACTTCCATTATATGTAATTTTTTTTTTGTTTTGACACCTTTTGCAGACTCATCAATTACCTTTCACTTATGACTTCCATAACTACATGCTTCGAAGCATGGAAGAAGAATTTCGAGATATTGTCGGCATTAGGTATTAACACATCATTGTTTGGATTTTTTTTTAATATATTTCTTACATATGTTATATCACAATTCATGTTTGTGTTTATGATGTAATAATCTTGCAAGTGTTACTTTTTATTCGTTATACAAAACGGCTGGAGATGTTTTACTTTTGTTTGTTGTATGACATAAATGTATTACATGTGTATGCCTTAGGCTTACATAATGACTACTTAGATGTGAATTTTATTTATTTATTTATTTTTTATCCAAATTTGGTAGCCTCAATCTCAGACAGTTGATTCCCGTCATACAAATTTCGTACTTCGAACTTTATTACCTGAATATCTTTTAGGATAGAAACTTGTTCGGTTATGTACCGCTCCTGATAGATTATACAGTAATTTCTGTTTATATGGTTTTCTGCATTTTCGTTTTATCTTATCTCACTTATTTTGCAGTATCCCGCTCTGGATTTTTGCTATTATGTGCACTGTTCTAGCCTTTCATGGTAAATTCCGATGACTAAAAGTATTTCCTCTATGAAGCTGTAATTACGGAGTTCTTTATTCGACATTTCGTGACATGTTCGGTTGGAATTAAGCTTGTCATTATACATTGAATTCACAAAAGAAATCATGTGTTTTTTACAATTATTAAGGATATGTAGACATTGGTTTGAAAAAAAGAAAAAAAACAAGTACGGTAAAGTTTCTTGAATATATACTTAGTTATCAAGTACGTCTCGTTGATTTTCTTTTTTATCTGCTATTTTTTTTTATGTCTTCGTTCTATTTCAATAGTTTGAGATTGTCACTTAAGTATTACAAGTGAAGATGTAATTAATGTAGATGTGTATATGATTCCTTTGCATGTATGTATAGCATGTATTATGTATAAATTTTTAGTCGAGTTATCTTGAACTTTTTCTTTTTTTTCCAAAATATTTATTGACTTGTTAAATTATCTTCTAAGGTACATATAATATTTTCTGGCCTCAGGAACAAATATCTACTTCTGGATTTCTTTCCTCCCCGTTGGAGTAAGTCTCCAACGCTTGTTTTCTTATCATACTTGCATTAAAAAGTCCAGTCTTTCGTATTTATTTTGGTTAAATTTAATTATCATTTATCTCAATGGTTGTTATATATGTAGTTAATCCTTCTAGTTGGTACAAAGCTGCATCGAATAGTCGTAAAGCTGGCTGTAGAAGTAATGGATTCAAGTCGGTGGAGAGTATTCGAACAGTTCAATCTGAGGGACGAGCTTTTCTGGTTTGGCAATCCAAGGCTTCTTCTTCGCTTGATACAATTTGTATCTTTCCAGGTTTTTACTGAACCACTAGCTATCCTTTCTTGCGTTGCAAGTTAGCCACCTAATTAAATCCATTTTAAATTTATGTTTCGATATTGCAGAATGCATTTGAAATGGCGTCATATATATGGTCATTGGTAAGACTTTGTTATACAAATCAATTCAGAATTTTGATACCATCTATATTTATTAGGTTCTGAAATTGATCGTAAATCCATTCGAGAAAGGTTCTAGTTTTTTAAATTTTTTTTTTGAATTCGAACCACGGCAATAAAAATATTATGTTAGGCCTAGTGTAATTGCAACAGTTTTACCGTGATTATTGCATGCATATCATACATGATGTACGTGTGTCTTCGTTTCGTTTTGATGTATTTAGATTGTTTATTTATTTTTATTTTTTTTGTTTTGTTTGCAGTGGGAAGTAAGGGAACCATCGTGTTACTCCGGAGATGATACCCTCCTACTAATTCGCTTGACATTTGGGTAAACAATTTCTTCCTATTCCGCTAAAAAACGGGTTGTCGATAATTAAATTGAATTTTTCTGCAGAGTTATATCACAGTTCTGGTGTAGCTTTATCACTTTCCCTCTCTATGTTATTGTAGCTCAGGTAAAATACGATCGATCTCCAGCTTGTCAAGTTTCATTTTTATGCATTTTATGATGATATTTTTTTTTATATTTTTTTTAATTTGCAGATGGGTTCAAAGTTCAAGAAAACGATCGTATCTCAAAACGTGAGGAAATCGCTTAGAGGGTGGCGAAGGAAGGTGAGGACTAGACAAGATGGACCAGCTTTCACTCTACTAACTGTGACGTCATCTTTGGACGACTCCGTTTCCCGTGTGGGAGAAAAACACTTGGAAAATATCTCAACCGCACGAAATGAAAATCATGTTGATGATCAAGAGATCAAAGCTAGTGATGATGCTAATCCTCATCTTATACTTACGTCAAAATGATCATAACCGCTCGTTCCTGTCTAAGATTATTTTGTATCGGTCACTTACTAGATTTTGTTGTATATGATGAAATGATCTATTTGCCCACCAACATGATAATGCTGTATAAAAATGGATTTATATTTAAACCATAGGCCGTTTTCTATTTTTTTGGAAATGAAACGGTTTCGGTTGTTGCATTAGAAAAGCTGAGGAAATTGCCATATTGTTGTATATGATAAAATGGTCTATATGTTTTTTTTTTCTTCTTTTTTTTTTTTTTTTTTTTTTAATCTTTGCTTGAATTGAACGATGGAAGAGATGTGTATCTTATGGAGTGATGGCTGAAAATAATGAGAGTTCGAGTGAATTGCCGTGTGTATTGTTCAACCTATTCAATGTACTTAGGTCACCGTTGGTTGTCAGGATAAGATTAAATAATCTAATGAAAATTCAATTATTTTATCAGGTCCCATGGCGTCCGACAAAAAAATTTCCTAAAAGGCAAGATAAAACATGGTAACATAATATATGCGAGTCGACTCAACAAGTTATTGGGAATGTCAAATATCAAACAAAGTTCAATTATTAAGTTAGTAATAACCAGTGTTCTAAAAATCGGCCGAGGCGGCCGATTAATCGGTCGCCGAGGCGGAGGCGGTCCAAAGCCTTTACGATTTTAGTGTAAAGGTTTGAAAAATCGGTTTTTTGCCTGTGAGGCGGTTTGAGGCGGTCCGAGGCGGTATGAGGCGGTCCGAGGCGGTCTGAGGCGGTCAAACCTTTAAGGCGGGTCAAACTTCGGTGCCAAAAATCAGTCAAAAATCGGTTTTTTTTTTTTTTTTTTTTTTTTTATAAATCAAGATAAAAGTTGGGATTTTAATAAAAAAAAAATGAGTTTATGTTTTATTTTGTTTATATTAATTATTATTGTTAAAGAACTAATGATGTATGCCAATAATGTATGTAAATTCAAAAAAAATTGCCTTTTTATTTATATTTTATAAGGATATTTATGTGATCTTATTATTATTAAACTTTTATTATGTTATTAGAATATATACATGATCGAGATATAACTATGTTTAAATATTTTTTATCTATGTTTTGAGTATTTATAAATAATATCTACAAATATATTATATTAAATTTTAAAAACTGATTTATTTCCGATTTATCACCGATTAATCACCGCCGCACCGATTAATCGTGAGTCGGTGCCTGACCGACTCGAACCCGATTACCGATTTTTACAACCTTGGTAATAACTAATCTCCTCAACTAAACGAGACATTATGGCACATTGAAAGTTTTATCTAAATTTAAACTAGAACGCTAGAAGCATATTTGGCTATTCCCTCAACAAATTTGAATACCAAAGTCATGTCCTTTACTTAAGGAGAAAATCGCCATTTCTCTCTCTCTTACTATATTTTTTTGAAACTTTTTAATTTGATTTTACATTTAATCAATAAGGCTATGTTGGCACCAAATTTCCGTTAGTGAAGATTGAAGAAATCCGCCATACGTGGAAATTAAAGATTGGTAAAGATTTGTTTTCCATGTTTATATTGGAATTAATTAGAGTCCTATTCTTGTAATATTTTTATTAGGACTTAGATTTATTTCCATGTATTATATTCTAGTTAGGTATCTTTTGTACTTATCTAGAATAGAAGTAGAAATCGACTAGGATTCTATTACCTAGTTAAATCGATTTCTTAGGGCCCAAGTTAGGTTTAGGGTGGAGATTTCGTGCCTATATAAGGCCATCAACCTCATATGAGTCCGGTGGAGCTTTACAAAGAAAAATCCCAGCATAAAGGCTTTGAAGGGTGCAGCCCGTGCTGCAGCCCTGTCTGCACGACAGGTGTGGCAACAGAACAGGTTTCTTCTACCAGGCCATAAAGGAGATCGGCGTTTCGGGAGAAGTGCTTAAAATATCTCGGGAGAGGTCGATCCGCCGTTTGAAGGGAGTTCAACATTAGAGGAAGTCCAAGAGTGCGGAGGAGGAATTGCTTTGATTATGAGCAAGTTCGAGTCGTGTGCAAGAACGGCATATTACATAAAGAGGGAGTCTTTAGTGTTTTTATTAAGTCCTATTAATGTACACATAAATCTGAACTAGTTTTGCAAGTCCTCGTGGATGTAGGGTACGTTTGTATCCGAACCACATTAAATTCTTGTGTTCTTTATTCTGCTTTTAGTAGATTTAGTATTGTGACAACACAACAATTCTGTTACGTCACCTAATGTCGTAACACGTAGTCTGTCTCAACAGATGAGTGGACTTTGATAGGCATTCAAAATTCAACAATTGGCATCAGAGCGGGTCACTAGATATACTTAGTGTCTGATTTTGGGTTTTGATTTGTTTGATTTGCTTATTGGATGACGTGTGTTCACAAAGAAGGTTGAGACGGAAGTCTGTCACGGCATTCACCCAATTTCGCTGCGTTGTAACGTGCCCCGTGATGGGACACTCTGATAGAAGACCAAGATGGCTGAAGAAAAGTGACATCTTTGGTGCAGGGGGAGTAAATCTCATCTGTAGGGGGAGTTCTTGTTAAACATGGATTCTAACCAATCTATGCCAAAGGGGGAGATTGTTGGCACCAAATATCCGTTAGTGAAGATTGAAGAAATCCGCCATACGTGGAAATTAAAGATTGGCAAAGATTTGTTTTCCATGTTTATTTTGGAATTAATTAGAGTCCTATTCTTGTAATATTTTTATTAGGACTTAGATTTATTTTCATGTATTATGTTCTAGTTAGGTATCTTTTGTACTTATCTAGAATAGAAGTAGAAATCGACTAGGATTCTATTATCTAGTTAAATCGATTTCTTAGGGCCCAAGTTAGGTTTAGGGTGGAGATTTCGTGCCTATATAAGGCCCTCAACCTCATATGAGTCCGATGGAGCTTGAATAAGAAAAATCCCAGCATAAAGACTTTGAAGGGAGCAGCCCGTGCTGCAGCCCTGTCTGCACGACAGGTGTGGCAACAGAACAGGTTTCTTCTACCAGGCCATAAAGAAGATCGGCGTTTCGGGAGAAGTGCTTAAAAAATCTCGGGAGAGGTCGGTCCGCCGTTTGAAGGGAGTTCAACATTAGAGGAAGTCCAAGAGTGCGGAGGAGGAATTGCTTTGATTATCAGCAAGTTCGAGTCGTGTGCAAGAACGGCATATTACATAAAGAGGGAGTCTTTAATGTTTTTATTCAGTCCTATTAAGTCCGCAAAGAGAGTTCTTTATTGATCAATTTTTCATGGAGTCCATTAAAGATTGATTGGGGTTTCACGACCTTCAACGACATCAATAATAGGTTTATAGTCGTCATCGAGACCATCGAGAATGTTCTCAACAAGATCTTCATGGTCCATGGGTTTGCCAAGAACAACCAATTCATCAGCCCGTGTTTTCATGAATTGCATGTACAAAGTGATGGTTTGAGAACCTTTGACGGTGTTTTTAATTTGTTCTTTGATTTGTTTGATATGACCACGAGAGGGACGAGCATAGGTGTGTGCAAGCGTTGTCCAAGCGTTACTTGTAGTCTGCGCTTGTTGAATAAGTGGGACAAGAGGTGGTGTGAGAGAGCCAACCATACACTGTAAGTGGAAGTGTAAGACAATACATAGTTAAGGGAATGGTCGTAATTCCCTAAATATGTGTTTTTCTTTTGTGTAATTTGATATTACCTTAGGAGGGTGTATTACCTTAGGAGGGTAGCTGTAATTTACACAAAATTAAATCATGCTACGAGTTGCAAAGTGTGAGAGTGACATGATTCATTATGTGCTCTTAACAAGGATGAACTAATACCAACTCTAATTATAAAATTAGTCTAAATTTTATATAGCGAAAAATGTTAGATGTTGTGCTAAAATTCAAAATAATGATAAATATTGGAATAAATTGAAAAACGGGTTTCAAGAGTGATTCAAATAGCAATCGAAGTCTCTTGCATGGTGTGATTTGATGAATTTTTTTTTAGGTTCTTCAACTTGAAAAAAATAATTTTAGGGTTTAACTGCAATAATTGTTAGTTAGAGGGGTAAAAAGTCATATTGACGTTTAATTTGAGGAGTTGAAATTACATTGATGCCTAGTTTGAGGGGTTGAAGTGATATATAATGCTTACTTAAAAGGGGTTTGAACTTTTAATTTATTTACCAAATGATCAAATAAAAAAAGGGATAATTAGTGAAACCCCGACATCATTTACATATATTAGGGTGGATACAACCCTTTTTTCAATATTAGTCAAACCCCCCTTAATTATTAATTTTTTTTTTTTTAAAACTGCTATGCATAATACCTAATTTGTCCTTAATACTATATTATTTCACATCTATCCTAATTTTATTACCCCATTCACCGTCTCCACCTTCTCTTCTCTCATTTATGTAATTCTCTTCATAGCCCATTCCGTCTATTTTAAATATCTACCGAATAAATCCATGGTGCATAGCATGAGCCGACGACTTTAGGAACAGCCTCAAGGACGCGCTCGTAGGCTCGTAGCGCATCTCCGCTCCCTCAACATTGATGTCCAAGCCGCCAGATCTGAAGATCTCGTCCCGCCATCGCTACGATCTCGATTTAGTTGTAGAAGACGACATCAAAAACTCAAAAATCCCTCCCTACCTCCACCCCTTGACTCCACCGTCGGATATACTGACTTTGCCGCCGCCGCCTCTGCCCCGTCGTCGCCATCGTTTTGATTTTTTTTTTTAATTTTTTTTTGTGATGCTTTTGATATTACGTATCTTTTACATCAATATAGTTGTTTTTTGTTCTTTTGCTATTTTTTATAGCTATTTTTGTTATCCTACTATTTCTTTTAGTTGTTTTCGATAGTTTTTAGTTGTTTTCGATAGTTTTTATTTGTTTTCGACATTTTTGGTTGATTTTCAATTCGTTGGTAGTTGATTTTGATTTTTTTTTCCAATTATATGACCCGTTGGAAAAAAAATATGAATTAAAAAAATGAGTTGATGTGTTTTTAGTTGTTTTCGACAGTTTTAGTTGATTTTGATATTTTATAGTTATTTCAATAATATGTGGTAATTTGTCAATTTGATAAATTAGTTGGAAAAAAAAATTCGTATTGGATTCAAAATAAATGATATGAAAAAAAACGAATCTTTTAGTTGATTTTCAGAAAAATTGTAGTTGATTTTGAAAATATTATAGTTGATTTTGGAGAAACGAAACTAAAAAATACTGAAAATAATATTATTTTTTAGTTATTAAAAAAATATTTATAAAAATTATTTAAAAAACTATTTCTGTAAATAAACAAAATGAAAATAAAAATGGAAAATAGAAATGAAATAAAAAAGGCATGTGCAACAAATAATAGGGAATATAAAATTTGAGAATAAATAAAAGTTGGGTTTATAACTAATAATGAAAAATAGACTAGATATATCCTTATTAAAATAATATTAGAGGGTTTTCACTAATAACTCCTAATTAACATGGCAAAATATATGTATATAATATTTAGCCAAAGTTTGAAGAGTAATGATGGAGTGAGTAGCTAAACACTGGGATCAACTAAATTATAAATAATGTTGTTGGAGATGATGTAAGAAAGAAAAGCCATGACTTAATTGTATTTGTTTTAAGGGATTATTGGAGATATGCTCTCATTTGTTTTGCAATGAAGGAACCTGCAGTCAACCACGTATGTGCACTGGGTAAACTTACATTCTCATATGTGTACTGGGTAAACCTACATTCTCGTATAAATAATGAAGGAACCTGCAGCCAACCACATAGAACTTGGCTTGTCCAGTCATTTTTTTTATTTAAAAAAATCCCATTAAGTCAATGATTTGATTTGACATAAACTCAAATACTGTATTTTTATCATTTTTACGCTTTTCGTTTATGATTTTGCACCAGCTGTTAACATCGGCTATAGGGCGACGTCGACTCCAACTAGTTGACTAATGTTTCAAAGCGACAACTAGCCCGATGACAGTACGTCGGCGACAACAACTGAGGAGGAGGTGTGCTGTCCTTGTTTAAGGTGGATCGGACTTTTTTCAAATGAAACTTGAAGGATATTTTGGTATTTTGATTTTGTAGGGGTAATTTTAGAATGAAAAACAAATGAACGGGTTGATATGTAGCAAAACATAGTTTTGTGGGCCTAACTGAAATAACCCTTGTTTTAAAATACAAGTGAATGAAAAGCCATGGGCTAATTGTAATTGTTCTAAATTGAAGGGATACGTTCTATAAGAGCATCCACTATGGGGCTCTTTAAACGTACTGTTTGTGTCAGATTTTAGGCAATCTTTAAATTTGGAGAAGAAAAACTCCTGTAGTGGGAAACTTTAGGCCTCTTCACGACTCCCCAAATCCTAAGAAATGCTAACTAACTCCCCACAGATAGGAGTGCATTAACAAACATTGTGGGGTCTGCTTTTGTTTTATTTATTTTTTATTCTTCAAATTATTATTTTTTTGCTTTTCTTTTTGGTTTTATTTTATAGTATGTACATTAACGAAATAATGTACCATTTAATAATTGTTTAAATAAAAATTACTAATTAATTACATTTATGTATACTTAATTAGCCTTATTGTAATAAAAAAATAATTAACTCGTAAATTTAAATAGTATTTATTATTTTCATAAATAGATAATTTTATCATTTATAAAAAACTATTCATCAAATTTATAATCTTATTTCAACTCATTTGTATTTTTTTGGCTAATTAATATTTATGTTATTGGTAAATTTTTTGAATCTTTTAAATATTATTTATATCTTTATAGAATTAAAATATTAAATATTAATTTCATAATTAAAAATATAAAAATATAATTTCATAATTATATTTTACTAATTAAATATATTTTACTAATTAAATATAAAAAAAATATAATTTCATTATTATTATATTATAATGATTTTCTTATTAATATTTAATATTTAGGAAGCCATTCTAAGGATGCACAAAACCACCTATTGGTGCATTTTGAAATTTGGGGAGTTCTTAAGTGAGGTCCATAGTTTAGAGAGGAGTAAAAATGCATAGGTGGCATGTGGGGTCCATAGTTTAGGGAGGGATTCTAGGGAGTACCGCTGTGAATGCTCTAAAGTAGGGGTGGATTCGGTACGATTGCCAAACATTTGGTTCAATACCGTATACCTACCGTAGATTGTGGTATTGAAAAATTTCATACCGTTACCGTACCAAAAAGTTCGGTATACCAATGTTCGGTATACCGTTATTTCCGGTATGGTACAATCGGTACGTGGTACTCTACCGTACTTGGTGATGCATAAAAGATTAAACAACAAATGAGTTGAAATATACATATACATCCCAATTAAAAATAGTTCTAGTTACTCTTGTATGAGTTGTATTTTATTTTCTAAGAAGGTCTGGTGTATAATCGGAATAATTAACATAATTTGCTTCATTGAAACAAGAACATATGCCATAATAATGTAAATGTTGTTTAATGGAACAACTAGGTATTTGTTAGGAACTTGATTGTACTTAATAATTATTACATACAATAAGGGTTTTTTGCAAGAACCACCCTTGTGTAATCTCTAATTGCTGAAAAATCCCTCGTGTTAAAAAAATTAGCAAGGACCCCCCTATGAAAGTTAGTCAAAGCCAATAAGGCCCTTAACATCTTATCGTGGTCTGCACGCGCTCATTGTGCGGCTGGGGTGCATATTTTGACCTGAAAAGATATAAATACCCTTTAAATAAAAAGTGGAAAATTACATATTGGCCCCAAAATTTTCTTAACCCCAAATTGAAGTTTTAAGAATTTTCAATTCAGCCCTTGACAATTTCTAAAACCCCCTCTCTCCAAATCATCTCGTCCCCAATCAAACTCTCCACAATTTTCACGCAAAACACACACACAATGCTTCCTGATGGTGCCCCATTTGCAAATATATTTTTTTATAGGTAAAATGTTTGGTAGGTACCTCACCAAATCTGCCTTTTCTTTGTTCCATCTCTCCCGAGAAACTCCGACCACTTCAACCGGCGACATATTCCACAGTTCCATCGACGAAGAAGGGGCACGAGCATGTTGAGTATGGGGCGGCGGCGGCGGGTGGATATGGTGACGGGAGCAACGTATGTGGGCAGTTTTTGGGGGGGGGGGGGGGGGGCAACGGAGGATGGAGGTAATGATGGTTGGGTATGGTGGTGACGGCTAACACCGGCAGAGTATGGGGCGGCGGCGGCGGGTGGAGGTAATGGCGGTTGGGTATGGTGGTGGAAGGCCGAAGGAAGAAGGGGTGGGGGTGGGTCAACGGGGAAGACAAGAAACTCTTCTCTATTTTTTTTTTTTTACGAATCTTCAATAGGATTTTTGGCTTATTGCATTTTTAAATCAAGGTTAATTTTGTCATTTCATTTAAGTCAACATTTAAATCTGACAAAAGGGGATGTGTGCTATATAAAACCAAACATAAGGGGGTCTTTGCTAATTATTTCATCATAAGGGCTTTTATGACAATTAGAAATAACACAGGGGGGTCTGTGCTATTAGCTCCATACAATAAATACTTTACCAATACTATACATACATGTAGGTAAAAAAATAATATTTATACATCATATATAATAAAATTCGTTGGCTATAGGGAACATAAAACAATTTAGTAGAACATATATGCTCAATTGCAAAATTCAACTTAGTAGAAAAAAAAAAAAAGAAAAAAAAAAAACAATACACTACCGCTAACTTAAGGGAAAAATAATTGTTGCCATTATAAGATTCTAAGTAAACAAAATAGAATTAGAAAAAATAATATCGAAAAAAACATATTAATCGAACTAAAATGTAAATTGCGGTACGGTACGGTATTACCGTGGTATTAGAAATACAATACCAATACCGTACCATATTGTAATGGTACCGTACTAATACCGTACCGTACACAATGGTAACCGTTCTTTCGGTAAATTTTCGATAATCGTTGGTTGGTATACCATGGTATATGGTAATCGGTATTTTTTTTCCAGCCCTACTCTAAAGTCTAAAACACCAAACAAGTAGTAAAACCCCTACTTTCTCAAAAACAAAGTTTATACCCTCGTCCAAGTCACCCCAGATTCCAAATTTCTCTGTCTCTCGCACATAAACAAACCAACATTTCTCTGTGTTGCAAAAAATCTCCCCTGTTTACCGCTATTTTACTTTTTTCTTGGTTAATCTACCTCCAATTTCGTGCAATAATGGTGCTCGAGGTTCGCCTTTCATTTCATTTGCACCCGATTTCATTTGTGTTTTTAACCTGTTTTTTTTTTCCTTTCGAAATTGATGGTTCAGTTCTTATTTGGATTACTCGCTTATTTGTAATTTTAATGTGCTGATAATAGGCGACGATGATCTGCGTTGACAACTCGGAGTGGATGCGGAATGGTGATTATTCACCCAATCGATTTCAAGCTCAAGCCGACGCCGTTAACCTAATTTGTGGAGCTAAAACTCAAGTAATTTTTTTTTCTGTTTTCCCTATTTTTTTTGTTAATTTTGTCATCTCTTGTCTCAGTCGTTGAATTGTTGATTAGGTTTCTATTTCGTCCGCTCGTACTTTTACTTCTTGTTGATTTGGAAAAAGTTTCCGTTTAATCTAGCCTGAAAGTGAATTCTGAACGGAAAATAAATTTCATGGTTTCCAACTGTATTGCAATTTGCAACCATACTTTCTAAATCTAATGCTAAACTAAAACTGATGAGCAAGGATGGACAAATATCTGCTTTTATCCCTTTCTTGTGCGCTGACTTAATTTGTCCTCTTTACTTGTAAAATCGCCTTCCGTATAATCACATTTCTCTTACTGGTATATACTGCTTTTTCATAGTCCAATCCGGAAAATACAGTGGGAGTCTTAACAATGGCTGGAAAAGGTGTTCGCGTGTTGGTTACTCCTACTAGTGATCTTGGCAAGATCCTGGCCTGCATGCACGGTTAGCTTTTGTACTTATGTTCAACTGTACTAAGTATCTTAATTTGATCATTGTTGTTCTTATGAATAATATTTTGTAATAATTAGAAGTAGAGTTTATATTTTATATTTTTTATATTAGGCAGAAGTTTAACGAACTAGTATTGAGTCTTAATAGTATTTTAGGATAAATAAAAGCAAAGATAAATGAGATATTCTTTTCATATTGGTAAGAATGTATGAAAATTATGTTCTGACACTAGAAATGGTCTATAAATTGTTTATTAGCAAGTTGTAGGTTATATGTTTTGATTACGTGAATGTTAGAGTTGCACACCGGCTAACCTTGTGCTTCAATTGTATGTAGGTTTAGAGATAGGTGGTGAAATGAATTTGGCGGCTGGGATCCAGGTTGCACAGTTGGCCCTGAAGCATCGTCAGAACAAGAAGCAGCAACAAAGGATAATTGTGTTTGTGGGAAGGTACAATTAGCTATGATATGTTCCTTCAACTCGAACTTTTGGCTACTGTTTTTGTATTTAACTATATATATGTTTTTTACTTTTTTGTCTCTAGTCCTGTTAAATATGATAAGAAGGCGTTAGAGTTGATTGGAAGGAAATTGAAAAAGAACAGTGTAGCTCTGGACATTGTAAGCTTTGGTGAAGAAGATGAAGAAAAGAATGAGAAGCTTGAGGCATTGCTTGCTGCCGTAAATAACAATGACAGCAGTCATATTGTTCACGTTCCTTGTGGTCCAAGTGCTCTTTCGGATGTGCTTATCAGGTTTTTATGGTTATCTTGCAATCTTTGTTCAAATTGAACCTATTGTTTTGAATTACTTTATTTTTATTTTTATATGTCAATCTCTTTTCTGCAGTACCCCAATCTTTACTGGCGATGGAGAAGGGGGGAGTGGTTTTGCAGCAGCTGCAGCTGCTTCTGGGTATGAATTTGTGGATCCAAACATGGATCCTGAACTTGCTCTTGCACTTCGTGTATCAATGGAAGAGGAGAGAGCAAGGCAAGAAGCAGCTGCAAAGAAGGCTGCAGAAGAAGTTGCAAATCAAGAAAAAGGAGAACAGCAGTCCACTTCACAGGATACAACCATGACTGACAGTGTGAACCTTGAAACTTCAAGACCTGAAAAAAAGATACAAGATCTGACGGTTCGTTGAGTTCTTGTTTATTATCTCTGCTGTTTGTATAAACTGTGTGATACTAACAAAACTGGGACTTGGCTCTTTTCTTCGGTGCAAGTCCCATAGGTTTTTACATGACATAGGACAGCTACTCGTGGACTCTCCTTTTCTTTGATTTCTTGTTTATATCTCTGCTGTTTGTATAAATTGTGGGATAGTTACAAAATGGACTTGGTTCTTTTCTTCAAAATGTAAAACACATAGATCTTGGGCATGACAAATGACAGGTAGCTCCTGGACATTGTCAGTTTCCTTGCACTAGTGTTGTGAATAGTTGATTTATAAACATGCAAGGACAAGGTATACCAAATAAAGCAGAATCATTACTTCACATATAACCACTTAAACTAATCACTCTAATAATCATGTGAATACGAAAGATCTTGAGTCATCAGAGTATGGTTGTCATTATTATTTATTTATAAATGTGTTGTCATGGGTTTCTGTGTTCGTTGGCTAATTGAGTTCTTCAGGTGTTGCTATCAGATGTAGCCTTTTTCTGCAGGAGACTAGAGTCTTTAGGTTGGACGTACAATTTATGAATGCTATTGTATATGTTGCAAATATGCATCTGTACTCATAATCTATTCTTATTTTTGAAGTACTTTTATGTTATGTCATATTTGGTTTGTTATGTTGAACTGCTAGCATGATTTGGTTTAGACTTTTCAAGAGGCGTTCAGTCAAAATTACAAATACTTGGATTTGTTGAGAGACAAAGCGGTTTGTTTAATAGTGACAGATTGAGGAAGGGAAATGGTGATAGAAGCTTGTGAGAAATCATTGTTGCCTTGTTATGTAACTTTTGCCTGTTTTCAGAAGCCATAGTCCATGTGATTAGTCTTGCTAGGAGATCAAGTATTGTGGTGGAAAGTAATAACAGAAGTAGGTTCTTCTTGGTCGAAAGGAAGTTTCACATAGTTATGACTCATTTATGTGGATAGTTGCTCCATTGGAATCTTTTTATCGATCCAGTTGGTTTACATGCTTTTTATTTCCTTTGTATATTCACGTTCTTTTCCTCACTCAGGTGGTTAAATGTTTTGAAAAGGAACCTGAAACTTCTCTATTCATATCCTGTGCATTGATGAATAATTAACCACAGTTATTAACTGATATGTTTTTACAGGATGATGAGAATGCATTGTTACAGCAAGCCCTGGCTATGTCCATGGATGATCCTTCCACCAAAGCTGCTGTGCAGGACATTGACATGTCAGACGCCTCTGCTGACCATGATTTGCAACTTGGTTAGAGCTCATATTTGTCGGAAAATGCCTTATACCTGTCTATTGTTTCCATTATGTTACTTTATTATTTGCTGAATTTGTTATTCCCTTCTCCTCAAAATATAAATTAGACGTAAAACACTGATTTTTGGGGTGTCTACTCTTCACCACTTCAATGTAGTAGTTGAGAAATGATGATGTCACATTAATATTTAAAGCAATACGTTGGTGTTTGCCAAAATCGTCCAACATCAGGAAATAGGGCCTTATTTTAGGATCTTCCAGATAGGAAAATAGCAGCAACAAATTTGAAACTGAGTGAGCTGTGGTATTTTACTTTGGAATTTTCTATAGAAATTTTGGTTTACTTTGGTCTACTGCTTATCTAGAGAACAACCAATTGTATAGAAGATTGAGTAGACAGACTTCTTGGATTTACTCTAATTATTTTGCATCTTAAAATCAACTTTATCCAAGAAGGAGAATATTTATTACAAGAATGTGAGTGGGATCAAGCTTGCTTAACTTTACCTTTTGATCCTAAACCGACACATTGACAATATGAATAATAAGGCTTTATTTGTTTACACTTTTTGGATGATAAATCTAAGTCTAACGTAAGAAAATTAATATATAACAATCTTTACACAATGCTTTGGATGCTAATCTCCAATTTCCTACCCATTATAATAAAACTACTGTTGAAACTAATTAGTTTTTTTCATTTTAGGCATTGTGGCAAATCCTCGGTTACACTTTTTCTTCTGGCAGTTAATTAGTTACATAAACCTCGTAAAATTATTTCAGTTTTTTTGAGGAATTATTATTGATAGGATTTGTTTTTCCGTGGTTATGTTTTTCTACTTGTTATGAAGCTCAATAAATTTCTTAATTTGCTTTGGATATAAATACACATGTTTGTTGTATTGGATAATTTTGTTGTATTTCTATATTAAGGTGCAGCAGAACTGATGGGAATAGTTTTAAAACTTACAAATCATGTGTACGAGACCCGTCAACCCAGAAAAAGAAAAACTAAAAAAGCAAATAAGTTACGTCAGATTCTGATATATGCATGAACTGTATGGTACTTTGCTAGATTTCAAATTTAAACCTGCCAAATATATTCAACTCTGCTCGTCAAATTTTGTTCATCTTTCACAGTTGTAGACCTCGATGTTGTCTTTTGGAGAATCATTAGAAATACGGAATTCCTTGACTACAGTTTATTTAAAGAACTTGATTTGGCAAATTCGTTTATATCACAGACACTTCATAGCATAATACTCATTTTGAATTGGTTTTTTCCTAGACACTTCTAATTAATAGATTGGGTTACAAATGGAGAGCAATGTTTTTAGCATTTTGATGTATTATATTTACTTTCCTTCGTTTTCAATTTGTTATTTTGATTATACTCTTTAGAAAATGGCAAAAGTGTAATGTCTATGAACTATTTTGCTGGAGGTTCTGCCTTAATTTACTAACATCACTCTGCATTCAGATCCGCCTATTGCCAAAATTTTACTTCTTACCTTTTGTTTCATGATTCTTGTAGCCCTTCAATTGTCTGTGCAAGAAGAAAGTGCAGCAGATCAATCAAACCAGACAGATGTGAATAAGCTGTTGGCAGATCAATCCTTCATGTCCTCCATCCTTGCTTCAGTAAGTTTATTATACTAAAATATTCCTGTTGTTCATTAACTATGTGCTAGAGATGCTCAAAAAAATGAAAGTAACATTAAATTGGCACTTGCTGTTTATTCATGGTGTATTTGCTTTAACAGCTCCCAGGTGTTGATCCAAATGACCCCCATGTCAAAGACTTGCTTGCTTCCATGCAGAATCAGTCTGAGGTGAGTTCAGCAGATGATATTTTGGTTGATGAAATTGGATGAATGGTTGATATTTAATAATGATTACTGTTTATCTTAATAATTTCTCTCTGTCTCTCTCATGCAATTCTAGGTAGTATTATGGTAAAATACATAGAGACTGCAAAAACTCTTTGTATCGAGGAACCCCTAAAAATCCCATGCAACTGAAAGATCTGCATAAAAACCATATTCTCTTAGAAGCTAACATTGACTGTGCTGCTAATGCACCTGCCGGAATGCAATTTAAATGACACCTTTAAAAAGCAAATAAAAAGTTTTGCATTTTTTTGTTGCCTGAATCAAGATAGTCACAACTTTCACATTGTTTCGTTCCAAATTCAATGTAGTTTCAAATTAAAAAAATGAAATAATAGATGAAAATTCGGGGCACAAATTAAAGCAGGTCAGTGTTATAAATACTTTTAACAAGAAATTTTACCACATCTGTTAATTTTATCTGATCAGCCTTTTGATCTTCATTAGAATTGCTCAAAGACCTGAATTAATGTTATAAGTTCTAGGACAATTAAGGAGAGATGTTAGTTAGAATAATGAGAGTCTATAGAAATGAGTACAGCCTCTTCTCTCCACCTAGGTGACCTCTCTGCCCCTCTTCAAGGATGAAATCTGTTGTAATGCAGTTATAGATGAGTAAAAAGTTAATGCCATTGGATTTGACCTAGGCAAGAGCGATTAGCACACATTTTAGTTTATTTTCCTCCATTTTTTGTGAAAACACGGTTTTATGCAATATGTTCCTTATGTTTTGGAAGTTTAGATGACATATTCGAGTGACTTTGATGGCAGCTGTAACATTAGATTTTGGACCAGTTGATAGCAAGATCACTGTACAATAATAATATGAGACAAATACTATGTTTTTCCTGAAAAGTGGTGTTATTGATTGTTTAACTGTTTGCTTACAAAAAATTAATGTGTCATGAGTTCCTCAAAGTATTGTTTGTACTCTTTTTAATTGAAGTGTGTCATATTAGTTCCTTCTGAAAAATTATCTTAGTTTGGCTGTGGTTTACTCTGTTTTAATCTTGTCTTCCTTAGCCGTGTGATTGTTTTTGGAAAATGCATATGGATGCAAATGTTGGAGAGATTATTAGATGTTTCTTTGCGTATAACCATAACTATCGAGAACAAACTTTTGAGAAACATGCTAAAGCTGATATATTCTTTGATTTTCTTCGAAAGTTATGAGACAATTAAATATGGAACCTTTTGCTTTATCTTTATCTCTTAACTAACAAATATGGTTGCAGCAGACCAAGGAAGAAGACAAGGCACCGAAAGAAGAGGAAAAGAAATGAACATGTTTGTGTCAAATGTCTTTCTCAGGTGTAATTTCAATTTGATTGTGCCACAATGGCTCTATCAATAGGTTTGAATTTGTATATGTTTCTTTTACGCTTACCAAATTGTGGAGGTCGTGCGATAAAGGAGCTAAACTTGTACTCGTGTTGCACAGGTCAAGCATCTATTACAGAAAAGAAGTTGTGCGAGGTGTATAAGTTGGCACTCAAGATGGTTGTAGTTTTTGTCAATTAGGAGGCATATGCCATGAACAATCTTGTTATGATCAAGAATTAAATGAGCTGTCTAGTACTATATAACCTACTGACTTTCGAAAATGTTATGTTGTCTCATTCTATGTCAAACAGTGACTTTGTTGCATATATAGGTGGCGTGAATTACTCAATCTTGGTCGGGAACTTTGTTCTTGTTTTTTCAAGTGTTTATTTGAATCAAATGCCATCTTTTGTTGCAGCAGATATACCTGATGGTTGGGGGAGGGCTCGTCATGTTATTTTTTTCTTTCTCGTTTTCCGGTCAGCTAGACCTTTTGAGTTTTTTTCTTTTTTGGGCTTAAACAAACGGTGATCATTATTTTCAAATTGAAATGTTACTTACCATTGCTGTTAGCATCATGGGAAGGGGGCGGCTATTTTAAATATCAATTTTTTCTTACTTCAATACCTACAGTAGAACCTCAATAAACTAATACTTGATAAATTAATAAACTCGTTTAAATAATATGTTTTTTCAGTCCTGATTTGAGAGCAAAGTGCTAAAAATTTTCTTTATTAAATTAATATTTCGCTAAACTAATAGAATTTGACTAATTTAGTAATTTATAGAGGTTTAACTGTATTAGTTGAAGACCACATTTTAAGACATGTTTTTTACATTTTTTTAGATTAAGACCCCAAAGTACAACAACACCCCTATTGAAATACAACTTATACACGCACATGGAATCATTTCATGAAGTTCGTTTGAGTCCTAGCGTCGTCGACAAGCGGTCCCAGGCCATGTTCTCCCCCTCCACGACCAATAGGGGTGATTAAAGTTAACGTTGAAGTAGGGGTGGTAAACGAGCCGAGCCGGCTCGCGAACTCGACGAGCCGGCCCGAACTCGAGCTGGGGTTTTTCGAGCTCGAGCGAATTTAGTTGTTCGACAGCTCGCGAGTTGCCTTTTTTTTTTTTATATATATATATATATATTTTATATATAAATATATATATATATATATATATATATATATATATATATATATATATATATATATATATATTTTATATATATATATATATAGGGTATATATATATATATATATATATATATATATATATATATATCTCTCTATATATATGAGCCGGCCCATACACATATATATATATATATATATATATATATATATATATATATATATATATATATATATATATATATATATATATATATATATATATATATATATATATATATATATATATATATATATATATATATATATATATATATATATATATATATATATATATATATATATATATATATATATATTATTAATATTATATATTATTATTATTATTATTATTATTATTATCTAAATAGTAAATAGTCTATAATAATAAATATTTTTAGTATTTAAATAGAAACAAATTTCTATTACTTAGATAATTCATAATAATATAAAATATTATAATAATAATAATAGAAAAATTAGAAAAAATATAAAACTAGAGTTTATTATTATTATTTTTTTTATTTTCCTATAAATATTTTTTAATAAAAAAATAAATAATTTGAATAAAAAATTAAATAATAATACAATAGAAAAAAAAAATTAAATGAGCTCGAGCTCGAGCCAAAAAAATTTGGCTCGATGATCTCGAGCTCGGCAACATGGACTCGAGCTCCAGCTGGCCAAAAGCAGCCGAGCTCGGCTCGTTCCCACCCCTACGTTGAAGCAACTTTTTCGCAAGGTAATGATCACTATTACACATCTATCGTTGCTAGAGATTCACAAGGTCAAATGTGTGGTGGCAGAATTTTCGGCATCTTGGCCGAGTGTTGCTTGCCGAGTGGGAAGTTCGGGCTGTTTTGCAAGCTACTCTTATGGCGTTAAGCTTTAGATGGCCTGACATTATTATTGAGGGTGATTGTCTCCCGGTGATCGATGCGCTTAATGGCCGAGATTCTTCTTACTTCATTCGGCGCTATAATTGAGGCAGTTTTAGCTCGCTCTTGTCTCTTCTCTTCTATTTCCTTTTCTTTTGTAAGGCGTGATGCCAATAAACTAGCTAACGATATTGCTTTGCGTGAGAATTTGGATTCTTTGGAGGGTGAGACCCTCCCCTGTCTCAGGCCATGAGTGCCTAATATAATTATGTTTTTTCCGTCAAAAAAAACATACAACTTATACAAAAACAATAAAATATTTTCCGTCAAAAAAAACATACAACTTATACAAAAACAATAAAATATCATTTTCAACATTTTCATTAGTTTTTTTTATTAGAGGAACATTTTCATTAGTTGAAGAGCAAGAAAAGAAGAAAACAAACCCTCCCTTAAATTCCAAACTGCGGCGCATCGCCCAACCATCACCACCATCGTCTATAGACCATGACTAAAGCACAACAAGACAGAACCAAGTACGGTTTCAAATTTTGATTTTTAAATTATTTGAAAATGCTTTGAAAGGTTGTTAAATTATGCAATTTAAAATAATTACTAGAGAAATATGTGTCTTGAGCATTGAATGTTGATTAATTGTTGTCCACGTATCAGTTGAATTCAGTATACGAGGTGAAATCCGAGAGGAGAAAGACAAAGAAGCCGATCTGCCGAAACACCGTGGTCGATCCGCCGCCGCACGTGCCCTCACGCGCCGCTCCAAGTCAGCGCGTGAACCTCACGCGCTGCCGCTGATCCGCGCGTCCTTCGTTGTCGCTTCGCCGCCGCTTCTCCCGACTACACGGATTGGTTTCCGTGGCAGTCAACTTCAATCCGAGACTTCTCCCCATGCTTCGAGAGGTAATTTATGGATCCGTATTAGGTTTTAATTTAATTACATTAAATTAAATGTTGATATTCGCAGTATGATTTTGGTTGAATGATTTCGTGAAATTATTTATGTTTGAATTATGATTTACTGCGAGCATGCTATGAGATTTAATTATGGAATTAATATGCATGTTAATCTAAATTTCGTGGGAAGAGTTGTTAGTTTAATATGGGGGCCCAAATGTCTGATCGGGCTCAAGCCATATGACCCACCTGGCGGCCCATTTCCAAGGAGTCGGCCCATCCTCACTTAAGCCCATGCAGCCTGTAATCTTGACCGTTGGATGACGGGACTCGATCTGGACCGTTCATCCCTCACTTATATACTCTCTCCTTCTCCTGCTAAGTCTCAAACCCTAATCTCTCTTCTCTCTCTCTATCCGCCGCTGCTTCTCTTCTTTCCTTTCTTCTCCGATCTGCTCTCCGAGATCCATGGCAAGAATCAAGTCTTCAATGATTCTTGCCTTCGATATCTCGTCTCTGAGCCTATATATTCTTGGCATATTGAGAGATGAGGGATACGAGTGATACTACCCTTCTTTCTTCCTTCTGGTTTTCGATTCCTCTGTTGTGAGCAACTCGAAATCTTCGTGAGTGAGGGAAAATCTGATTTGGGCCTTTTATACACTGTGGGAAACCGTATCCTTTGTGGGTTGGGTTGGGGCCGAGACTGTGAGGGTATTTTGGCTGCGAGGCCTGTGAGGAAGGGAACCTGACACCGGAAGTGGAGCTGCCGCCGACTGGGCCTTGGACGTGGACTCGGGATCGGAGGACTGAGCCGTAGCCGTTGTCAACCCCTCTCAATACAGATCTGGGATCTGTCAAGATTTGCTCATTTCTTTGTTCTACTTTTATTTTATTTAATTATATAGATATTATCTGTATCCCTAATTCCCTACTCCCATAGGTATTTCAACTCTTGTTTCATTTGTTAATCTTTCTTATGGTCTGTAATTTAATCGCTATTTGAACGACCCCCAACAGTGGTACCAGAGCATCGTCAAGTTGGGTGGTGCTCGTTCAAATAGGGCGTACGGAAATCCAACCGGATTCCGCTCAGGTATTGTACCCTAAACCCCCTATGGTTGGGATTTAATTTTCTGCTGTGATTGGTACTGCCTTAATTTTTTGATTATGTGGACTGTGAGCCACTTTGTGTGATTCGTGGTCTGTGTGCCACACTGTGTGTTTTCTGTTGTGGTCTGTGTGCCACTCTTATCTCTGTGTGAATCTTGTTCTTCCGCTGCATGTATAATCTGCCCACTTATATATATAAATATTAAAGGGTGGTATAACTTGGATTCTCGACCTCACTTGACCGGACCGCAAGTGCCCTGGAATCCTGTGAGGGAGGGTCTCCAAGATTACCTATCCTTGTTGCATATGCATCTATCCCAATTTTGGTCTATAGTGAAAAATTGGTCTAATATCTTGCTTTGTGATGAAATTACTATGTCTGCTATGTCTGCTTATACTATGGCACCTTTCGATGGTAAGGGTGATTTTTCTATTTGGAAACAGAAAATGAAAGGTGTGCTAATTCAACAAAGATGCTATGTGGCTCTTGATAAATCTTATGCTGCTGACACTAGTGCTGCTAAGAAAACAGAACTTGATGAACTTGCTTACTCTGCCATTATATTGAATCTTTCTGACTCTGTGATTAGAAAGGTAGGTATGCATGATTCTGCTAAAGGTCTTTGGGATAAATTAGATGAGCTGTACACTGAAACTTCTCTGCCCTCAAAACTATTTTTACTCGAAAAATTTTTTAGATTCAAATTGGATCTAACCAAAGATATTGATGAGAACATAGATCAGTTTACCAGATTAGTTCAGGATATTAAACTGACGGGAGACAAAAGTATTGATAACTATACTCCCATTGTTTTGTTAAATGCAATCCCTGATTCTTACAATGATTTGAAATCTGCTATTAAGTATGGCAGGGATAATATTTCTCTTGACACTGTCATAAACGGTTTAAAGAGCAAAGAACTGGATTTGAGAGTTAACAAAAGCAATAAAAGTTTTGGTGAGGTGAACTTTGTGAGAGGAAGGCAACAAAACCGTTTTTCAAATAAGCCTTCCTCCACTAACCAAAATGTTTTTCAAAATAGTTCTCATCAAAACAATTTTCAAAAGAAAAAGGGCAGGGGCAGGAGTAAGTCGAAAACTCGTGTTAGTAATCGTAAGTGCTATAATTGTGGTGAACCTGGTCATTATGCTCAGAACTGTACTAAGCCTAATAAGCACTCTAATGATCAGCATGCTAATCATGTTTCTGATAATAATCTTGGTGATGTGTTTATGGTTGGAGAACATGCTTGTGTGAATTCTGTGCTATCATCTCTTGGTGAAAATGATTGGTTTTTAGATTCTGCATGCTCACATCATATGACTCCTATGAAACATGTTTT